TGTTGGGTTCAGATATGAAGAGACTTCAAAGTATTTGTGGGAAAATGGAATTAAAAGATAAAAATATAAACTTTTTCTCTCTGTATCTCTGTGTAACTCTGCGTTTCAAATAACTAATAAATAATTTTAAAGGCATAGGGCGGCATTGTGGCATAGTAAGTAAAGCTGCTGCCTACAGCACTGGTATCACATATAGGTGCCAGTTCCAATCCCGGCTGCTCTACTTTCAGTACAACTCCCTGCTAATGGGAAAGCAGCAGAAGATGGCCCAAATGCTTGAGTCCCTGCACTCACATGAGAGACCTGGAAGAAGCTTCAGGCTCCTGGCTTTGGCCTGGTCCAGTCCAGCCCCAGCTGTTGTAGCCATTTGAGGAGTGAACCAGCGGATAGAAGACCTCTCTCTCTCTCTCTTTTTCTCTCTGTACCTTTGCCTTTCAAATAAATAAATAAATCTTTAAATATGTATACAAGTCTTTAAACATATATATAAACTTTATTTTTCAGCGTAAACTTTTCTTATTGATGATACCAGCCATTTAGTCCATCCCTAAAGAACTGAGGTTCCTAGCAATTAAACCGTGCACCTGCAGTCTCTTGTACATTATCAGTTGAAGAAAAATGAGTGCCCTTTAAAGATGTTTTAAGATTAGGAAGCAAAACAAAGTCAGAAGGAGTCAAGTTATGACTGTAGTGTGGATGGTGAGTAGTTTCTGATCTTAGAAAATTGCCCTTGTTTGGTGAGAGGAATTAGTAAGAGAGAAGCTCTCTAGTGAAGCTTTCCTGGGAGTTTTTCTGCTAATGCTTTGGATAACTTCCCCAAGACTCTTATAAGGTGCAGTAGTTATTGTTCTTTGGGCCTCCAGAAAGCTAAAAAGAAAAATGCTTTGAGCATCCCAGAATACCCTTGTCATGCCCTTTGTTCTGCTTTTGCTTTGATTGGACTGCTGGTATCTCTTGGTAACGATTACTTTGATTGTGCTTTGCCTTCAGGTTCATACTGGTAAATCATATATTAAAGTTCTTAAAGAAGTGCCTGCAGATCTTGATCAACTTGTGTAAACATTCGCAGCTATACTGGTGTCTGCAGTTGATCTGATTGCAGCAGTTTTTCAGTCAGAATTGTGTAAGCTGAACCAACTTAATATCTATGGTATTGGCTATTATTTCTGCTCTTAATTATCAATTATCTTCATTTAGAGCACAAACAAAATTGTTCCCTCACAAATTGATGTGTATATAGTGCTGCTGCAGAGGGTTTCATCCACATTGTCTCAGCCTTTCTTCAAACAAGTTACTGTTTGTAAACTGTGGATTTCTTTAGGTATATCATCCCTGTAAACTTTTCATAAAGCATTAATGGTTTCATCATTCTTCCATCCAGGTGTCATCATAAATTGAAAAAATTAGAATTTTTTTTTGCTTCAGTGTTAGCTGCATTCATGTTATTGTGATGAAACTCTTTTCAAACCAGTGTCTTATCCTTCTTAATGCCTCTAAATAGATCCAGTTAAGTCACGTTGTAACAAGTTGGTATGCCCTTATTTTGGTGCGTACAGATTTTGAAATCTAGTCATAGTTTCTTCATAATACGTGATTTCCACGAACTTTTTGAAGACCCTTGTATATTTATAATTATTTGTCTTCCTATTGATTTAGCCTTTTTATCATTACTTTATGACCTTTGTCTCTGGACAAGGGTTTTTGACTTAATGCTTATTTTGTCCCACATGATGCATAGCCACTCCTGCTGCTTTTGGTTACAATTTGCATGGAATATCTTTCTCCATCCCTTCATATTCAGACTGTTTGTATCTTTAAATCTATAGTGAGTTTTCTTGTACATAACAAATAGTTGGGTTTTGATCCATTCAGCCACTCTGTGTTTTAATTGGAATATTTAATCCATTTACATAACTTACATACAATTACATGAATTTACATGCAGTGGCATATTACTGGAATAGTTTGAGGAAAATATGAGAACTGAGGGATAGATAACTCCTAGAGATTTTTTGTTGTTGTTGAAAAGGTGAAACATAGCTGAAGGGAAACATGGGGTCTAGGGAGAATTTTTTTCTTTTTCTTTAAAAGTCAGAGGTATTGGAGCAAGTGCTTGGTGCAGCAGTTAAGACGCCAGTTGGGATACTCCCGTCCCATATCAGAGTACCTACGTTTGGCTCTTCATCTAATTCCAAGTTACTGACAATGCTCACCCTGGAAGGCAGCAGGTGGGTCTTTGCCACCCACATTGGAACTTTTGGATTGAGCCTGGACCAGCCTCAACAATAATAGGCATTTGGAGGGTAAAATAGCAGATGGAAGATCTCTGTCTTTCTGTCTCTGTCTCTGTGTCTCTTTCAGATAAAATGAAAATGGATAATGTTTATTTTAAAAGATGGGAGATATAATACCATATTGTATATCCTGTGAATAGTTTAATAGTATCTTTGTTTTCTGGTACTGTAACAAACTGCCTGAGACTGAGTAATTTATAAGTAAATTAAAAAGAACAGCAGTTTATTTGGCTTATGGTTCTAGAGCCCAGGAGGACCAAGAACATGATAACTGGCATCTGCTGTACATCTGGGCAGCCTTCTTGCTGTGTCATAATATGGTGGAGGAAATCATATGGCAAGACAGAGCAGCATGCCAGCTGGAGTCGTTCTTCCTCTTTTTTTAATTTTTTTTTTTTTTTTTGACAGGCAGAGTGGACAGTGAGAGAGAGAGACAGAGAGAAAAGTCTTCTTTTGCCATTGGTTCACCCTCCAATGGCCGCCGCGGCCGGCACACCACGCTGATCCGATGGCAGGAGCCAGGTGCTTCTCCTGGTCTCCCATGGGGTGCAGGGCCCAAGCACTTGGGCCATCCTCCACTGCACTCCCGGGCCACAGCAGAGAGCTGGCCTGGAAGAGGGGCAACTGGGACAGAATCCGGCACCCCGACCGGGACTAGAACCCGGTGTGCCGGCACCGCAAGGCAGAGGATTAGCCTAGTGAGCTGTGGCTCTGGCCCTTCCTCTTATAAAGTCACTGATGCCGTAAGGACTTACCCTCATGACCTCATCTAATTACCTTTTAAAGGCCCCACCTCCAAAAACAATTAACATTTGAATTTGAGGATTTGGTGTTTAACATACAAACTTTAAAGGGATACACTCAGACAACACTAAGGAGATAGTGGGAAGCTAATAAAGAATTGTTAGAGAAGGAGGGATTAATTACTAGAAGAAAGTCTGAATAGTTAAGAAGGAATGATATTAAAAACCATATTTTGGGGCAGATACCATTTTTTTCTGGTGGCTCCAATTTTTTTTTTTTTTTACATTTATTTTATTTATTTGAAAGAGTTACAGAGAGAGGTAGAGACAGACAGAGAGGTCTTCCATCTGCTGGTTCACTCCCCAGTTGGCCACAACGGCTGGAGCTGCGCTAATCTGAAGCCAGGAGCCAGGAGCCTCCTTCGGGTCTCCCACCATCTTCCACTGCTTTCCCAGGCCACAGCAGAGTTGGGTGGGAAGTGGAATAGCCGGGTCTCAAACAGGCACCCATATGGGATGTCAGCGCTTCAGGCCAGAGCGTTAACCTGTTGCGCCACAGTGCCAGCCCTTGGTGGCTCCAGTTTTTGTAGGGTTGGTCAGTCTTAGTCATGGATGCCAACTCTATGAGAAACGAATTTCTAGGTAGTTCATGAACAAATCTTTTATTATGCACTTTTATGCTATGTCAGCAGATTCCTTCCGTTTGGCCCATATACTGAATAATAGTTACTCAAGCAGATACTAAATATGTTTTCTTTTTAAAAGATTTTTATTTATTTGAGAGGTAGAGTTACAGACAATGAGAGGGAGAGACAGAGACAAAAGTCTTCCTTCTGTTGGTTCATTCCCCAAATGGCCACAAAGGCTGGACCTATGCCGATCCGAAGCCAGGAGCCAGGTGCCTCTTCCGGGTCTCCCATGTGGGTGCAGAGGCCCAAGGACTTGGGCCATCCTCCACTGCTTTCCCAGGCCACAGCAAAGAGCTGGACTGAAAGAGGAACAGTGGAACTAGAACCCGTGCCCACATGGGATGCTGGTGCCGCAGACAAAGGATTAACCTGTGCCGTGACGCCAGCTCCTAAACATGTTTTCAAAGAACCTCAAAAATCAATAAAATGGATTTCTGTGTTTAGGAGCTTATAATATGGTACAGTGGTTCTCAGTCAGACTGTTATCCACTCTTTCTTTTGGTTGTTAAGACTGGAGGATATGAGTCCTATTGACATCTGATAGAGACCAGGGATGCTGCTAAACATCCTACAATGAACAGGACAGCCTCCCACAATAAATAATTATCTGGTCCAAAATATTTCAGTTTTGAGGCTAGTAAGAGAAGTGGAATGCAAATAAAATTAAAACTGAGGTAGAATGTGATATACTCTGATAGCAGCACTAAGTGCTGAGATGAGAGGAATTTACAGTAGTGCTTGATTGAGGGGAATCAGGTAAAACTTGAAAAAGAACAGTTTTGTATCAGGACTTGAAGAGTCAGAAAAATTTCTGTATGTAAAGGTGAAAAACAGGTATTCAGAAAGGATATAACCTGAAATAACACAGGGTATCATGAAAGTGGGAGTGTGGGAAACAGAATATGAGTTAGTTTGAAGAGGTTATTGAGTTCATCTAGGGAGGTGAGATTAGAGATGTAAATTATGGTTGAGTCTTAGAGGACTAGGAATCCAGAGTTGATGATATATCTTTCTTTATCACTAACTCTATGGAATTCTTACAGTATGTAAAACAATGTACTTAGTATTTTTCTGTCTGTAACTACTTATTCACCCTTACCCATTCCAATGGCAGGGACCTGTTGTATTCTTTTCTACTCCACAGTGCCCAGAGAGTAGTAAATGTGCAAATTATTTGTTGATTTTGATTAGTGAGCAAGATTCAGTCTGGTGTTTGCTGATTTCACTAATGCAATGAACCAAAGATTCACATATTTTTATTTTGGACTACCCAGAAAAGAGGAAGAGCTGGTGGAGGCTGAGACAGTAGAAGAGGTGAAGAAAGAACCTCTCTTGGTGTGTCCGCCCATACGAAGCCGAACGTACGTGCCACCTGAAAATCTCCAGAGTCTTTTGGAATCTCGTGTTAAAGAAGTTTTTGGTACGGCTCTTCCCAGCAATTGGCAGGACATCCATCTGGAAGATGGTCATCTGAAGTTCATTCTCTTGGGGCGCTTAGCTGATGACTTGGGCCATGCAGTGCCTAACTCCAGGCTTCACCAGATGTGCAGAATCAGAGATGTTCTAGAGTTCTATAATGTTCCTGTTCAAGATAGATCGAAATTTGATGAATTTAATACCAGTAATCTACCTCCTAATTTGAAAATCACTTGGAATTACTGAGTAATGCAGAGGATGAGCACATTGATAAATTCCGCCCCCCCCCCCAAGCAAGGGGGCTGCTTATTAGACCTTTTGCTACTTTACCATCAGAACTATTCTCTAGACCTCATTGTTCTATAGATGACTGCATCATCTTTTTTTTCCCTCATGTTGTGAATCCACAAAGAAATAAGAGAAATTTCTTTTTTCACATTTGATGAATCCAATTTATTAAAAAAATAGAATTAGGTCAATAATAATTTATGGAATTTTTTTTCACCAGAGGACATTTTAAGATAGGAGGTTGTTACAAGTTCAGACTTGATCTTTATCCTTCATAGGCATGAAGTAGTAGTTGCAAGAAAATGTTTTAAAACTATTAGGGCTCTTAAGTCCGAAATGGAATTATCACATATTGCACAGGTACAAATAAGGAAACTTGTATTAGATAGTTAGAAAAGTCTGTGTTATATATTATAGAAAATTCTTTATTTCACTGTTTTACTGCATGAGTAGCAATAGCAGAAAATAATATTGTGCCTTCTGGATTAATCTGTTTTGGAAATTAAAGTAATTTTCTTAAAGTATGTTGTGTGTTTTTACTTTTTTTAACTGAATTTTGGTTTTATTTTCTGCCTTGTCACTTGCTTAAATTAAGTATTATAACTGAAAAAATTATAATATGTGCCATCTATTAAGTGCTGTGATTTTTTTTGTTTTATATTTATAAGAGATATGCCAGATTCTATGTAAAATGTATATTCCTCCTCTCCAGAGGAGGTGTCGCTTACTTCAGTCCTCTTTCTTTCTTTCTTTCATTCATTCATTCATTCATTCAGTTAAACAGAGAGAAGGAGAGGCAGAGAGAGGGGGCTTCCATCCACTGGTTCCCTCCCCAGTTGACCACAATGGCCGTAGCTGTGCTAATCAGGTTCCAGAGCTTCCTCTAGGTCTTCCCACGCTGGGACAGGGGCCCAAAGACTTGGACCATCTTCTACTGCTTTCCCAGGTCATAGCAGAGAGCTGGATTGGAAGTGGAGCAGCTGGGACATGAACTGGCGCCCATATGGGATGCTGACACCACAGGCAGTGGCTTTACCACAGCATGGGCCCCTAGTCCTTTTTTCTATAACTTTTAAAATGTGGCCTGGAATACCCCAAGTATCCATTTTGCAAGTTTGATGTGATTTGTGGAAATTACTCAAATAGAATGTTATCAGGTGGGTCTGTCCAAAATTGGTGATTAAATTAGGAATTGTTTGGGCTTTGGGTATGACTAGAGAGTGATGAAACAAAAAGAAGCAGTTTCTTATATTGTTCTATCTTAACTACCAGTGATTCTGAAAGAAAAATGTTAGAAATGTTTTAAATAAAGTAAATTGATTTATTCTCTTTCCCTGACTGACTCCTTTAAGGAGAGCAAAAAATAGTTGGGTGTATAAATTCTGGAATATTCATTAGAAAAATCAGTCAACAGTACAGTCATGCTCTTTAAATGTCAGCAGACATCTAGAACTTCAGAAGTGTCAGCATGTATGGAGCCCTGGAACTTAAAACATCATAGCTGATAACAATTATATTCCTCTGCTGCTACTAAGTGAAGAGAGGTTCAATCTGGGAAGTATTTGAATTTTACATAGAGGATTTGCTTATTCTGTTTCTCATACAGTGTTTTCTTCTGCTTTGGAGACAGGAGAAATGGACAAAGGGCAAGATGTAAGCAGGGGTGGGGAGATCAATTTGTGAAAAAAGCTCTTGGTTACAACTGGAGAATGAAAGGGTTTCATCTTACTGTTAAGGCAGAAGAACTTTGTAGCTCAATGCAATATTTCTCAAAACTGGATGTATATATGAATTACTTGAGAATATTTTTTTGAATTGCAATCCAGGTTCAGTAGTCCTGGTGTGGATCCTGAACCTCTGCCTGTCTAAAATGCTGTTAGGTAATTCTGTTTTGAACAACATGGCCCTCCTTTTCTAGAATTGAGGTTGGAGACAAGTGCCACTTCCTAAAACGGTCCTGGTAAATTTAACCAACAGAGCTGATAAACTGCATATCCATCAGTAACTCTAGAGGGCATCATTGGTTAATAGGTTAGTACAAAGGATATATCAGAATAATGACCTGAAAAGATTAAACCAAGTTTGCTAACTTGTGTATTGAGGTGTCCAAGTATACAGTTTTGTAAAATTTATATTTTTAAGAATGCGATGATTGCTATATAATCAGTTAACTGATTTTTCTTAGTTGGGCTCTGAAAGTTCAGTATGTATGTTTACATAAAGATAATAAAATTACTAGAGATTCAGAGTCAAATGATTTTATATAAACATGTTTCAAGCAGCATAAACTTTTTTTCTGTTCTTTTAATATATTGTCTTCATTATATATAAAGTAACAAATTATTTATAAGAAAACTGGGAGACAAGAAAAACAAAACACAAAATCATCTCTGTCCCAACACTCAGATAATCACCGAATATTCTGGTTTATTTCCAGATGAAAAAAAGACATTTTCTATATTTTACAGTTTCTGGGGCATAATATTTGCTTGCTTCTTCACATTATAAGCATTTCTCCTTACCTTTAAATAGTCTTAAAAAATAACAAATTTGGTTAATATATTATTTCATAATCAGTTATGTAATTTTAATCAATATTCTGTTGCATTTCTAAATTGCTTTTTTTGCTTTTTCAGCATGGTTTTAGACTTAGAAAACAATAATTGTAAAGTTTTGCAATGGGTTCTCATACCTGACACTCAGCTTCCTATATTAGTTACATTATGTTAGTATATCTGTCACAATCTATAAACCACACCCAACTTCCCCTATTTTTTTTAGTCCAAACTATCTCAACCCTCCCAGCCTCTAGAATTCAACATTCTGTTTATATGCATGCTTTTTTTTTTTTTTTTACCTCCAACATGATTGAGAGTGCAATATTTGTTTTTGTGTATCTGACTTGACTTTGCTAACAGGATGTCCTCTAGTTCCATTCATTTTGTTGCACATAATAGGATTTTATTTTTGGTGGCTGAATAGTATTTCATTGCATATATATATCACATTTCCTTATTCATTTGTCTGATGATGGACTCCATGGTTGACCCCATATCTTAAGCAGGTAACTCTGATATAATTTCATGTCTTTTGGATGTATCTTTCTTTTTGATAATAGTCATTGGATGAGTGATGAGGCGAAGTGCTTTTTGATGTGTATATATATATATATATTTTTTTTTTTTTGACAGGCAGAGTGGACAGTGAGAGAGAGAGACAGAGAGAAAGGTCTTCCTTTGCCATTGGTTCACCCTCCAATGGCCACCGCGGCCGGTGCACCACGCTGATCCGATGGCAGGAGCCAGGTACTTATCCTGGTCTCCCATGGGGTGCAGGGCCCAAGGATGTGGGCCGTCCTCCACTGCACTCCCGGGCCACAGCAGAGAGCTGGCCTGGAAGAGGGGCAACCGGGACAGAATCCGGCGCCTCGACCGGGACTAGAACCCGGTGTGCCGGTGCCGCAAGGCAGAGGATTAGCCTAGTGAGCTGCAGCGCCGGCCTGATGTATATGTTTCTGATGGCTAGTGATACTGAGCATTTTTTCATATATCTGTTAGCCATTTGTATTTCTTCTTTGAGAACTATATTCAGATCTTTTAACCTCATTCTTGACTGGAATGGTGGTTTTGTTGTTGAGTTTTCAGTTCCTGACATTGTGGATATTAATACTTTGTCAGATAAGTAGTTTGCAAATATTTTCTCCCATTCTATTGGATGTCTCTTCCCTCTTGATTCTTTTTTTTTTCTGTAGAGAAACTTTTGAGTTTGATATAATCTCACTTATCCTGTTTTGCTTTTGTCCTGCTGTTTTTGGGGTCCTATCCAAAAATTTATTGCTAAGATTGAAGTTTTGAAGTGTTTCTCCTGGGCTTTCTGCTGATTATTTCATGATTTCAATTCTTATAATTAGGTCTTTTGGTCTGTCTTGAGATGACTTTTGTACATGATGAAAGGTAGGGGTCTAATTTCATTTTACATATGTATAGGCAGTTTTGCCAGTATTATTTATTGAGAAGACTCATTTCTTCAATGTGTACTCTTGGAACCTTTGACAAAAATCAGCTGTATGTGTGTAGATTAATTTCTGGCCTCTATTCTGTTTCATCGTTCTTGTGATGTTTAATGTGGATGCCATGCTGTATGCTTTGAAGTTGGGTATTGTGATGCTTTCAGTTTGTTTGCTTAAGATAGCTGGCTATTTTGGGTCTTTGTTAGTTTGGCTTAAAGATTGTTTTGATTATCTTTTCAAAAACCCAGTGCTTTTTTTTTTTTTTTTTTTTTACTTCTTAGCTATTTATTTAACAAATTGTGATTACTATGTCCAACGTCTATCCAAAGCACTTTGAAACAATAGCATATTTAAAAGAATAACATATAATGATTCAGTAGTTCTCTGAGGAAGAAATTATAACTGGATGTCAATTACATTATATTTACTTTTTTGTTTGTATATCTTAATGCTACCCTGTCTTATTCTTCCTACTTAAAATTTATATCATTGCTTCTCAGACTTTCCTTTTTAAATTTTTATTTATTTTTACCCAGAAACCTTTTATTTAAGCTATACAAACTTCATGCATTTCATAAATTCAACTTTAGAAACAGTCATTCTTTTTTTCCCTTTTATTTAATAAATATAAATTTCAATAGTACAACTGGCTGGCGCCGTGGTTCACTTGGTTAATCCTCCGCCTGCGGCACTGGCATCCCATATGGGCGCTGGGTTCTAGTCCCAGTTGCTCTTCCAGTCCAGCTCTCTGCTGTAGCCCAGGAAGGCAGTGGAGGATGGCCCAAGTGCTTGGGCACCTGCACCTGCATGGGAGACCAGGAAGAAGCACCTGGCTTCTGGCTTGAGATCAGCGCAGCGCTGGCCATAGTGGTCATTTGGGGAGTGAACCAATGGAGGGAAGACCTTTCTGTCTTTCTCACTGTCTATAACTTTACCTGTCAAATAATAAAAGAAAAAGTACAACTACTGGATTATTGCAATTTTCCCCCCATAACTTCCCTCTTAACCTGCAATCCGTCCCATCTCCTACTCCCTCTCCCATCCCATTCTGCATTAAGATTCATTTTTAATTATCTTTATATACAGAAGATCACTTAGTATATACTAAGTAAAGATTTCAACAGTTTGCACCCATACAGACACACAAAGTATAAAGTACTGTTTGAATACTAGTTTTACCATTAATTCACATAGTACAACACATTAAGGACAGAGATCCTACATGAGGAGTAAGTGCACAGTGACTCCCGCTATTGATTTAACAATTGACACTCTTACTTATGACGTCAATAATCACCCGAGGCTGTTGTCATGAGCTGCCAAGGCCATGGAAGCCTCTTGAGTTTGCAAACTCCGACCTTATTTACACAAGGCCATAATCAAAGTGGAAGTTCTCTCATCCCTTCAGAGAAAGGTACCTCCTTCTTTGATGGCCTGTTCTTTTCACTGGGCTCTCACAGAGATCCTTCATTTAGGTCATTTTTTTTGCCACAGTGTTTTGGCTTCTCATGCCTG